GTTAACGGGCAACACCATAAGTTCCACTGCATGGATTAGACTGATGCCATTCAGAAAATTTAGCGTGCAAAAAACAGTAGGTTCCTTGCAGATTCCGCTGTGCAAGTTAAGCGAACAATGGGAACGACGCTAGAACATTTGAAGAATAATTTTTTAGGAAATTAAAATAAAAACAGAACTGAAACAAGGCAGTCACGAAGGCACACGGTGACTAGAGATGTATTATAAGAAGTGTTTTTTGGCCATATTTTGAACGACTGAAGAAGCTATTTCAATTTTTTTCTCAATCCATCTGAAACTAATCAAGAAATCTAATTACAACGAGTACATTAGTTCCACTACGTTACTAAAACTTCGGCTAGCAAGACTGGAACTTATGATAGTGTCAGCATGAACTGTGCTCAGTAGATATGATCCAAAGCTAAGAAAACAGCTAGCATTCATAAAACCCAGATTAATATGACTGGATTATGCTTCTAATTTATTATTTTACATTACTTTATAATTGAAGACTATAAGAAGAAAACAGAAGTGAGGGAACCATATAGTTGGCTTATGTCTAGCAACGTTTCTGAAAGGGGAGCAACCATAGACAGAAGGTTGCATATGCATAGCAGTCTTTTTCTCCATTAGCGTTGGATGAAGACGAAATAATTAAAAGGGTAATACATGAATCAGACCATAAGGCTACCCTTCTACCACTACATCGAAAGTATCACGGTCATGAACCTCTGATAGGCGTGAAGTAATTGCCGAAATCCTCAAATTGATAGAAAATAGGCAAAGACTGTGAGGAAAATAACATGATTTGAATGATTAAATCAGTATTTCGAGCTGCTCCGAGCATTATCCGTTTCCAGTGATACTTTCAAAGGAACGTCAATTAGTTTGCAGACGAGGCAACGGCTTGAACAGGCCACACAATGTTTAAAGCATCACTTTCTTCGCCTTGGATATATCACAAGAGTAATAAAATCCGTGGACTAAGTTCGAGTAATGATGTTCAAAGGCATCGAAGGAAATTCCATTGTAGCCACAGAACAATTTGTATGCAGATCAGATCTTCTACCCACATAGACCTACTTGACTTCGTCGCGAACGAGCCTAAACGCTAGTGAGCTTACACACTCGACGTAGCACTACAATTATCACAAGAAATCGGAGTTAAAAACACACTCAACAGTCTGATAAAAGAACAAGTTTTTAAAACTTTCCGAGGTTTGGAAACAAAAAAGTGCGGTTTCAAAAAAGTAGTTGTAATAATTGATGCAAGTTTTCAATGATTACAGCATTCTCTACTTACAATGTCATTAATACTTATAAAAAGGATGTTACGCATTACTGTACCAAAGAACTAAGAACAATCCAAATGACCTGTCTCTCCTCCTCCTCTCCAGTGTGTGAGCATGAGCAGCCTGAATGCTTCTTCTTCAAGTCTTTAAAGATTGTAAGTCTTTATTATGCCAAAGTTTCGGCAGCTTCGCCTTCGCGAAGCCACTCAGTTCATTTTTTTCATTTCGGTCACATTCATCAGTCACAATTGCATACCCCCATAGGAGTTCATCGAGTTTTGTACCACGCGGTTTCTCCTTTGACGTTTCCATGTCCATATTGGCACTTGAACCCGAGATCACGGCAAAACACTGTAAGCGCTTTGGATCACGACCAAAGACTCCGAAATTAACAGGGGGATGCAAGGCTACAACCCTCAAATTCGCACCCTTCTTCGACCTTTGCGACCTTCAATCTACAGTAGGAGATACAACAGGTTATTTCTAACTAAAGTTAGTACGAGGGTAGTCGTTCTTCAGTCTTAGAGGTGGATCAAAATGAGCAGCCCCTTCGATCAATCCTCTTGAAGATTTGCTAGTCTAGTTGAGGAACCTTGGAAATACTGTTGAGGCGTTTGAGCAAGTGAGGCACATATGCTTCGGACCATTCCAGGCGAAGGCGAAGCTACCGGAACGTTGGCCTAGAAAGGATTTCAATCTTGAAAGGCTTGAAGAAGAAACATACCGACTTGAAATCATGCCAAGATTGCAGGAAGATCGAACATGGACCATGGTCGCAATAGCCAAAGCCGACAGAGGGCAGCTCCCTAGTTTAATTAAGACCCCAAGTGACTGAACCTATACCATTGTTGCAGCTAGGGTGGAGACAACTTCCTTACACAGCTTTGTAGTAGCTACGCTCTCACCACCGCTGGACCACTCATATTACGTTGAATTGCAAATTTCCAATGAATGTTCATCCCTACTATCCCTGTCCTATACCTTGAACCAAACGCCACCCGAAGCATTGACCACACTTGATGAGTGTACAAAGTCTGTTGCGACTGCTGCCACGGAACAACTGAACAAAGCCAAAACAAATGAGATGAACGGTATCGGCAGGTGTGCAATTCAATCAAACAAACATCGAGTCCATTCTCGGTCGGAGAAAATTCACATACGGTTCCAAGGAAGAACTGACCATAAACTGTTACAGGCACTATCTGGAGAGTTAAGTTCCAACTTCCAGCTCAAATATGAAAAGAGATCGAGTCAAGGCGGACACTGCTAGATGGAGAACAGGCAATGAGAGATAAAATCCACATAATGAGAAAACCGACCTCCTCTAAGGACTAAATTCTTTAGCGTATGTGAAAAAAAGTTTAATACCTGCTCCGGCTCATTACACTAAAGGGTTAAGAGAAAGATATGTCAGGAACAGATGTGTATTAAATAAGTATTGGTTGAGCATTCACCTGGGCTTCACGACATAGTTTGGGTTTATATTCAGTTGTTCAGGGCGTCTACTGAAAATGGAATGTGTGACTGATACTGTAGGAATTGAGAACTCTAGGCCACTTCATATTTGTTCAAGCACAACTTTACGCATGGATGTTAGGGGTCCGGCTGAATGTCCGAATACCCTTCCGAAGAACATTGCAATATTTAATGCTATCAGAAGTGGTGTCACTGAGAATCACCACATTCTCCAAGTCTTTTTTGTTTATTTGTTTATTTGTTTATACGCTACATAAGGTAGACGTGAGAAATAAGCAACAACACGCTGTAAATCCTCATACAACTACATAAAACTCAGTAATTCTTTCTTTACAAGTCGCTTAAAGTGCATATATGCAGGGGAGAGAAGTACTACCTGCGATTTCAAAGATATGAATGTAGAGCCTGCTCTACAGTTGAAACTGTGGAGCTTCAAGTTGGTTCGAGGCGTTGCATATGAAATTTTCACGGAGCTGCCTCTGGTCCTTGAAACATTTCGAGTGAAGAACCTGGACTCATCAACTCTAGCAATCCCTGTCAATAACTTAAATACCATACAGACATCATATACCTTCCTACGTGATTTTAGGCTATGAAGCTTAAACTTTTGGTTCCTAGAGGCTGGGTGAGGCACGTCTGAAAAAACGGCCTCCCCTGTCCTAATGCATAACTTCCGCGTATAATTATCCTGAACTTTTTCCAGTAAATCCACGTTTTTCTTCTTCCAAGGGCAGAATATTGATGCACCGCTTTCCACTATGGGCCGCACGTATGTCTTGTACGCCTTAATTAAGACTTTTTCATCCTTTACTGTCAAGCCCTTAAAAATTTGATAGGTTCGAAAAGTAGCTTTCCTGACGATAGCCTCATAGTGGTCAGAAAAGCTGAGCTTATTGTTATAATGGAAGCCAAGTCTTATATAGTCTTATATAGTCTAGAAGTCTTATAGAAATACCTCATGTGCGCTGAAATAAAGGGCTCGGGGCCTGAAAAGCGCGAGTCCCGTGTAAAGAAAAGCGTTCTGTAAACAACTCACTATCCTTGCTGGACCTCACATATGTAGGTATTACGTAGACGAAGGCGAGAAGAGTTCTGTTGACAGACTGCTCCACCCAGTTTGAGATGGCATCATTTTGCACAGCGGCTACGATGAAATCTAAATAATCTGTTCTGTTTTAAAGAAAACGGGGCGCTTCAACTATTCTTAGTCAAACAGATCAATAACATCAGAAAATTTACTTAATGTTCAGTTCCACTTAGCTAAGAGGATATCCCTTAGAAGGTGCCTCACCTCGCAAGACTGCTACCGGAAGTAGGCTTAGCGTCTCAGGGTAGCGTACATGTATGACAAAGAAAAGCATCCATTTCAGTTCGGCATACTATTATAATGACCCAGCTGCAATGCTGGTCTCGATTTCGTTCGTTCGTCGATTTGTCAGCAAGCATACGCCAAGCAACCTTCTAGCAACGTTACTTTCTATCTCTAATTAGCTAGAGCTATAAGATAACCTATAGGATACAGCTACTCTAGCTCTAGTTCCTTAGCTATGGCTACCTATTACATTCTCACAACCTCTTAAACTTTCCAGCATGAGTGCGTATAGATTCCCTGCGCTCTTTCCGTAATGCATGTTAGCTACTTCAGAAGAGGCACCACACCAATCATCAATAACAGAGTTAACCTTCCTTCCTGATTGTGTCCTTCCATGATTCACCTTGGTGACAAGTGAATAGATCCTTGAAAATCACAAATATTTGGGTCCATAAGCGATTTTGAACTACTTTTTCAGGAAAAAAGTGCTTGAAAGAGCGGATGACAGATGGAACGGTATGGCTTTTGTCAAACAACTCATTCATAAACTTCATTAAGTGAAGAAACAACTGATGAAAAGCATATAATGACAACAAGAAACTCTAGAGGGAGACACATTACCATCGGGAAAGTGAAGCGACTTTAGAAGTGACTAACGTCTGTCACAAATTCAAAAGTTTTTGCCTTACGGTAGCCCAGAATTGGTGTGGCTGAGCGGTGACGTTTTACGAGCAACTGCGGCCATTATCGATTGCCGCTGCGCGTGCGGTCGGCTCATTTGCGTCGTGGTGTGTGTGCTGGTCGGTGCCTCCTCTTTCGCTCGGTCATAACTGCTTTGAAATTTGTTATAGTGTCGTTCTAATTCCTCGAACTTCCTCGATGTACTAATTTCGAGTGACTGATTGGCTTAATTTCAGGGCATGAGTGCAACAGAAGTCGTGGCTGCACCCACTGAAGTTGAACTTCCAATGGTGGAAGAGAATGAACCCAAGAAAGATGACGCAACCCCTGAGGAAAAACAGCCAGAAGAAGACCAAGAAATAGTGAAAGATGTAAGTCGTAGTAGTCTCCCTATCTTTAAGAGCTGTATTCTAGCATCTTTCAGCCTGAGGAAAAAGAAAAGAAGAAGGAAAAGAAATCGCGTCGTGATTCGCGCTCGCGCTCTCGCAGTCGTTCAAGATCCAGCTCTCGCTCAAGAAGCAGAAGCGCTAGCAGATCGAGAAGCAGGAGCAGAGGGTATGTTTAGTTGCAGATTCGATCGAGTAGTGACGTCAAGAGGAAGGAGGGAAAAACACATTCAGCCTAATTGCGAAGTTAGCGCGGCTTTTGGATCCGACTGCGCGCTCCCTTGGTGCATTTCCTTGTATCTCAGTTTTCAGCATTTCTCTACGACCTTATCTCCCCTTGACCTTGAGTTTTTGTGCCAATCTCGTGTGTCAGGCGCAGTTGGGAAGACTTGCCCTTTATGCCCCCGAAACAAGTTGTTGTAAGCACTTCCCATTTTGTTCATATGTAGGGAAATCACGTCCTACTCGGATATCAGCTTTCTTAGTATTTTTCAATTGTCGCAGCAATACAAACAGGGACGAAACAATCATATGTTGTTTCCGTTCTCATTGTAGTCAAGAGCTAAGTGAAATGTCGTACTGGTGAAACAACAGGCTTGAATCTGCTTGCCATGATTTTAATATACCAATGTCTCATTTAGAGTGCATTTCATGTGTTTGTCCCGGTGCGACGAAACCCACTGGCATATTTTTCGGAGCGATTCACTGAGCACAGCATGATTCAGCCGCAGAATCACGATATTACGATGAATCTGTTTACGCATTCCCAGCAGAGCTTATTTTAGACGCGAACGGCGTCGCTCTCGCCGCTCGAGATCTCGCTCCCGCACCTATTCTCCAGTACCGTCGAGCAGTCGTCGTGTCGTGAATGGAAGAATCCACGTTTCTGACCTCACCGCTTCGATTTCGAAGAGAGATCTTGAGAAGGCTTTCGAGTGGGTCTTTTTTTGTTCAACTTAATGTGTCACTTTTCAATTGTACAAACTGTTTCAGAAAGTTTGGAAAAGTCGTTGATATATGGCTTGCATCTTATCATCCGTTCTATGCATTTATAACCTACAAGAGGGATGAAGATGCTGAGGAAGCCATCAGAAAGATGAATGACTCGTAGGTTTTATTCTACACCACTACGAACTCTAGACGGTGGATAGAGGGCAACAACTTAAACATTCTAGGTATATTCGTCGTCAACGCATTCGTGTCGCCCATGCCTTACCTCGTCGTGAGAGGTTCGGCTTTCGTACGTTCGGGGGTGGCTACAATGGTGGAGGCTACGGCGGCGGTGGCGGCGGTTATGGAGGATCGTACGCAAGGCGGTGGGTTTATGAAGTAAACGTAACTCACTATGGGCGAGGTGGGAAATCCCTGAAATAACACTCGGATTCAATTGAATAAGCTCAAATTAGTGCGAGTATAAGGGCACCGAGTACAAATGAATACAGTTTTTACGGAGTCAAGTCTGCTTACCGTGAAGTCACTGAAAATTGCACTATTACCGTGGTTCTTCGAGATGCCCAATGCTGGGATTAGACACTAAATTGCTAAGAGGATTTGTTGAGTATGTGTGGAACTCTGTGAGGTTCAGAATATTCGTAAGATCAAGAGCGTTTATCACCTCTTGTCATTTAGTTGCTAATCCCAGGCGCAGAGTTAGTAGTTGAATTGAGAATAACTGAAGGACTTTTAGTGCATGTCAATGGGTTGAAATATTTGTGCCTATTTTGATAATATGGCATTTTGCTTGCACCTCAACTTGATGTGGCATGTGAATGTGAATATTCTTCCGAAAAGTCTCGCAAGACCAGCTCGTGGGATACGCCTACTACGAAGCTCGACATAGAGAGCTGTTTTGAAAATTCTGTCTGTGATAAGCAACACTAACACGTCACCGTAACGCGATGTCACTCATCCTATAGCACTTGCAATATGCAGTGTGGATAGCTGCATGTGGCGCTCAGGTGAGAGTTCCTGATTGCAGTTCTACCCCATACAATTTGCTACTTGTAGCTGGATGATCACTTTGATGTGTGGTGAAGTTTGGCTTTAGATTTTGCCGTGATATGTCACGTGTTCGTGGTACAGCTTGACGCTTTTTTGTACACAAACGCTCGCACTAGTAGACTACCTTAACCAATATAAAAACTTACACAAAATAATGAGTTTAACTTCAGTTTCACTCCAATGTTGACTTTAGAAACATGGTGTGATTCGATGGTCTTGAACTCCCAACTGTATGGCTGCCCCATGTTATGTGCTGAGGAAGCAAGGATTGTTGTAGCATCACAAAGTGTCAGGGACATGTATTACGGTGTATCTCAGTTCAGCAACACCATCTTGTTCGTCAATGTTTCGAGAGAATTTTTGTTTCGATAATAAACCTACCTAGAACAAGATCCGGTCAATTTGAAAATGATAGTTTATACTTGCTTATGTGTGCCTAGACTATACCAGCTTGAACCATTCACAAGATAGCATCAAGGTTTGAGTGCTCTAGGCATGACTCTGCTCCCACGCGATCAACATCTCCCATCTCTCAACATTCCTTCATACTAGAGTCTTTCGCGTATTACAACTGCTGTCGGCTGACGAGTCCAGATCTCATAATCAAGTTATAGGTTACTAAAAAATCTGAATAACAGCGTGGTAGCGCTCCCGAATCGTGGCCAAATACATGCGCTCGAGAAGCCCCTATTTTAATGGATTAGACGAGGCAGAATTTGACCGGATCTTGCCTATATGTAGACTACTAGATCCAACGCACATTTGTTCTGAATATAACACATGCGATCAAGTAATCCATACCCAAACGCCTTCTTTGGCATTTGCGGCCATTCATCAGTACAGTCTGGTGTACTTTTTAGCATTGGTCTTGATGTTTTGGATGGTGTTGCGTGGGAATTCGGATGCTGCGCGTATGGTTGCGTTGCGTCTTAGAAGCTCATGGTGGATTTTGCTGATAGAAGCTGCTTTGATTGGCAGTCGATAATGGTTGTTGGTTGATGAAATCACCCACTGTATGGATATTGGTATGGTGTGGTGCAGGAAGTAGATCGCATTTACTCAAAGGTATGTTAGTAGGTGGCTTGATGTGGCTGGGGTGATGCCACGCACACACTTACAGACATTAAAAACAGCGAGTAAACAAAAGCATACCGTGTCGGAGAAAGAACGCAGCTATTGTCTTTGAATTCTATCATTGATTTCTCTCACTTTTTAGCCGCAGAAGGAGCATCACGAAGAGCCCGATCCGTACATCGAGGTGGTCTGCCTTGTACTCTTCATTACTACTCTTTTCTAATTGCTTCATTTTCTAGGAGATCTCGTTCACGCAGTCGTTCGCGCTCAAGATCGCGTGACCGCAAGCGTAGCCGCTCATCATCGCGTTCGTCATCTCGCTCACGCTAAGATGTTAACATTATCTCTTCCCTTCGTTATTCATTTATCCGTGTTTCCCTCTGATAATGTTGTCGAGTTGTGGTCAAGAGTAGTTATTCCGTTGTTCATTCAAATCTCAGTTCTGTTTATTTTGAAGTGTTTCGGCATTGTGAGGTCCATAAAAATCTAGCGGTGTCGCTGTTGAAGTTCTCTTGTGAGGTTTATATATTGTTTTTTTCTTCAGAAGTATTTTGAATGACACAGTTGAAGTTTCTTTTCATTTCCATCCATCATTACATTGATAAACCATAATGCTGGGTGTGTCTTTGTATAAAATGTGTTAACAATATTCACTTCTGGAAACGTCCATAAGAATGCTTCTACACATGTTAGTGAGATTGCGGGTTAGTATGGACGCAATTCAAGATGAAGTCTGGTGTGGGCGATTATCATCTACTGGTAGCCCATAACTTTCTTTCAAATATTTCACTGGATGGTAGCCATGAGGATACGAAGCTGCGGATGTTCAACCGACGGCACTGTGAATCAGCGGTTGGTCTTATCACCTTATGCATTCTTCTTTAATAGGTAATGGTCTAGTTTACTGAAACGGATATGACAAAGTGGAGAGTATAGGGAAAGGAGAGAGTGAGCATGGTGCGATCGAATTATTGTGCGGCGAATCCAGCAAAAGTTTGAGTCAAGGGATGCCATACATAGTAATTTTTTGTATCAATTCACTTGTCTCAGCTCATTAAGTTATGTATCAGTCTTCATATAAGCCACAGTCGTCTCTCTGTTTCCAGAATCGTAATCATGCAAAGACCGCCTTATTCATCATAGACACGCAGAAGTGCATGCTATCTTTTACTTGTAGGAGAAATTGGGAGACTGAGAAAAGCCTTATCGGGGTGAAAGTATGAGAGTAAAAACGCCTTCGTTGATTCAGTTGCATCTTACAGACTAAGAAAGGTAATTCTACAATCTAAAATCGCGAGCGATCTTTCTGTGGGCTCTTTTTTACACATCCCGCTTGTCTGATTGGTTTTTCGTAGTTAGAAATGGAAAAATCGTGCGCAACAGTTGTATCGCTCAGCTAACCAAACCCCTGAAAGTTGTAGGATGGCTGAGTTTGCCTAGGAAGTAGTGGCAGGATGTGACCTGAATGGTTGTCTCCGTAAATAACTTTCTTGATCATTATTTAGCCATTTCATTGTTCAACGATGAAATTTAGACCAATGCAAGTTCATGTTGTACATTTAATTTATCGAATTGTTCATAAGCTCTAAAGACCGCTTTGAAAGAAAAGACATACAGTATTGCTAGCGTGCTCACTAAGCCTTCCATTTTGTAGGAAACTCATGCTAAACTGCCTCCGACTGGTGATGAAGCATCCGTGTTATCAATCTTATGTACCGATGAGGATGAAGTACCACTACTTGAGGCTAAAATCGTATGTTTTCTCAGGTTCTTATTGCTTATTGCTTATAACTCTTCCTAAAGAAAGGAATTGTTCAAATGATTATGAAGAATTGATTACTTCCTTCTGAACTTGTCAAAAGTCCCAGACAAGCACGGCCTGTTTATCAATTTCTCTCGAGACGTTTCTTGTAAGTTAATAAAAACACTATTTATAGCGAAGGTATGTTTTGATCTTTGTCGTCCTCGATCTTACGCTGGATTTTTCAGAAGGTAAATGCCATTTTAGAAAACATTTCTTTCAAAGGCTTGTTTGGAAGCTTTTCGAAACTTCGAGCGCTTTATATTCGATACAAATCACCAGAATATATTTCCACCTCGTTATGAAAAGTGGGCAATTTCCGTTCACATATGTAATTTAAGAATCAGTTCCATCGCGAGGTGTCAGATTGGTCCTATTTGACACATTTTCTTTTATTTCTATTGTGGGCAAAGTATCACTTCAAGGTGCGCTGGCCAGTAGACATTGATGATGAATGATGACCTTGACTGTCATGTAATCGTTTCATTGATGTGATCGTTAATCGTTCGAGATGCTGATGGGAAGACTAACGCATCAATGCGAATGGTTAACGGGAATATCGAGAAACATGCACTAGGAAAAAAGCTCTTTGTGCATGTGCCACATGAGCTGAAAGAAAATCACTTGACGCTGAGAGTTGCGCAACAAACTCAATGAAGGCGGCCCTTTCTAAAGGGGATAGTTGCTGATGAGAAGAGTTGGGCTATTGATGACAATGTTACCTTCGAACGATCATGGTCAAAACCGGAGAGCCTGCTCATACAAGATGCGAAGCTGACCTTCATCAAAATAGGGACACACTATCAGCTTAATGGGACTGCAACGTGTCAAATTTCATTTATTCCGGTCGCTGCAGAAGTTGCCGAACGAGGAGGGCTTCACCGAAATGAGGATGCCAGTCCTTATGTAGGCTAGTTTTTTTTTTCGGAGAAAAAAAAAACAAAACTTTTGTGTGGAAGAGAAGGAATATCTTTCTTTGGTAAGTGAAACATCACAATAACCTTCTGAACAACTCAATAGTACTGATTGATGTCTGGAGCCAGCACTGATGTTCCATCTTGACGAGTTTGCTCATATGAAAGCCCGCAGAGGTCGATAGAATTTGCGTTAAATCACACTTTTGCGTTTTTGTCGAACGACACCTCTCCCGTTTTCCTCTGTTACTTAGGATCCTCTGAATGCAACGGGTCTGCAATTTTCTCATTACTATTCATTTACCAACATTTAAGGCGAGTAGTAGTAGCAGTAATTGTACATGAATGTAACGAGTTTAACATAGCGATTCATAGAAAGTTATTATGACTCCATTTACCTCACTCAGGGTTATTTTCTAGCTTTCTGCGACTGCCTTCGGAAGAAGTGGAAGTCCTGTTAGCCTATCAAAAATGACAGCTCGTAAAAAAAGGCCATTGAAGAAGTGAGTTGCTTGAGATAAGAAAGTTTTTAGTGAGTCATTTTATATTAATGTCATCGTTAAGGCTATCTATGGTTCAGCGGTTCGTGAAAATGATTAGCTCAGACGACCTCGTCGACCGGGAAGGCACTGCCGACGAGGACATAGCTATGAGCTCTTTGACTGAAAGTCGTCAGAAGAAGAAGTCAGAAGATAGTGAGTATTATTGGGCTTTTCATTTAAATTATCTTGCACGGTAGACCACTTATTTCTCCTTTATCAGAGAGCTTCGAGGATGATCGGCCTATATCACCAGCTTCAGTTTCACAGTTTGGATTTTTTCGGCGACTAAGAACGTCACTCGCTAAGGATGAAAGGTAACTCAACTTAATACTTCATTCTTTTTACGTTGAAAGATTCTCCTTCGATCACATAGCACCGTGCTTTTCTGTCAGCATGACTGAGTTCTCGTGTTTCGATCTTTGGTTTTCGAATCGCTTTTTATTATCCGAATAAAAAGGTTGAAGACGATGGGAAGAGCAAGAGTAATATAATATCAGCCTTTGTGTTTGCAGATCTTTTCTGTGTGCGTCATCTGGTGCTTCACTTACTGTTTCGCACTTTCCCTTTCATACTTCAGCACGATCTCGATCTCGTCTACGTCATTCACGATCTTCGATCGGAAGGTAGTAGATCGAAGATCAGTAATGCTTTCATTGATCTATGCACATTTCTGTGGTTCGATGGGTTCAATTCGTTAGGTTTTCATAGTGCACGACTTTGAAAATCATTAGCTTTGAACTTTGTTTGTTTAGCACGGAGCGTTTGCATCAAAACATATCGGAGGATTCTATTGACGAGCTGCGCCCATTTGATTTTAAGGAAGTTGAGGTCGGTGGCGCTTTTTCCTCATTTGAGTTCAGCTTTGCATAGTAGTACATATATCTCTATGCTCTTCAGTATGTCACCTTTGAACAGCTTGGATGGAAATTACGCCGTTCAAGTTTGTCACTCGGTGGAGTAGCTTGGAAAAGTCCAAGTAAGGAGGAGAGAAAGGTTTGTTAAACTCTGTCATTTTCGCGCCGAACTTGCTTACTTGTCTAAGACTTTTTGTACCGCAGAAATTTGCGCTCATTGTTCACGATAAGGGCATCACTTGTATATTTGCTATATTAGTATTTTTAGTGTAAGATGTTTTTGGCTATCCGTAACTGTCCGTAAAGTCTTGTACTTGAAGGCTAATGAACATCAACAGGGCACGACAACGGCTTCGGACGGATCTAGTTCTGCGAAAAGAACAACAGAATCTAGTGGGTTTGCTATCACATCTTTTAAAAATTATCAGTGCCATTTTCTACATGAAGAATCTTACATGTAACACATCCTTCGTTCATATACTCAACGCGCAACGCGCTTTCAGCTATTGATCTTCTAATCGGGGATATATTAATCGGGTTTGTTGGGTTCTCTCCTCATCTTATCCCTCCTATTCTCCTGTCATTTTATTTTGCAACTCCCATCGTGGTCGTTGAACTGCGGAGATTAAATTTATGTTTTTGTCTTGGATCGGATCCAGAACTGAAATTTATATCATACCCCCATTCTTTCAGTAACAAGAACTTATTTTGACTCATCACTTTTCTTAGCAGTGTTAGATTTTTTTCAGTTGATGAAGTGACTGTTGAAGAAGACTCGGATAAGCCTGTCGCCGACGATTCACGACGAGGCGAGTATGATCCATCGATGTTGGACGATATCTTGTCTGCTTCTCGAACAATGGTTCGTTCCATTGGATTTGTCGTGAGTTAGCTTTCAATTAGTGAACCTAGTAGATCAGGAAATCTCGAAGCTCTAGCTCATCTTGAAAACTTTAAGAGTGTGGGGAAGGTCTTTGCATCACCACAAGCTATGAAAGCCACTCTCAACGAAACTTTTGCGGAGATGTTCCCCAACGTACAGCTTACATACAGTAAGCTTAGGAGGTAATCTTTTGTGTGATTCTTTTCTCATTATTTACATTGTGTTCAATCTTCAATGGTTAAAATACAACACATTTAGTATCAAGCGAGATATGTGGATAATTGCACAAGAGTGTGATGTCGATGAGTATACAGTCGCGCATTCTTTTATCTACTATGAAAGGATAGTTATTAAGGTATCTGTGCATTTTCAGTAGTTGTCTTTTGGACGTTGTGGCCCACTAGTGAATGTTACAGGGAATGATTTCTAAATACAACAGAAAGCTTGTGGCTGGCGTAGCTCTCTTAGTAGCTGTTAAGCTGAACGATTACAAGAAGCCTGACATTGTTAAAGTTTTGGAGGTGAATGAAAACTTTTTGGTTGAGATTTCTTTCAACAATATTTTCCTGACTGAATTTTATGAATTTCAGTGTACCGAGGAAAAGCTACGAATATCGCGACGCGAAATGCTTTCATTTGAATTGCCTTTGTGTTCAGCTCTCCAATTTGATTTGTTTCCGCCTGCTCATCATGTAGAGCCTCATCTTCATAAGATTGTGTTTGGGATTTTCTAGTCGCCCGAGCTTTATTCATTATTTTCCTTTTACAGCTTTACCGATACATTCTAATCTTTCCTTTTCGGATTGGGCACTGTCGACCTGCAATTTCTATACGAAATAATGATATAATAGGTTCGAAGATGACGACTCAAAGAGGCAGCTAACAACACTTTTGTTACGGGTTGTACTTAGGTTTATCTCATTATGGTATTATAGATGCTATTCGAAATTCGTTTTTCGAAAGCAGAAGTTGGGGAGGCGCAGTTTCTCTGAAGGATACTTGGGATGTGTGACTTAAAAAACATCCCTAGAAGACCATCAAAATACCGATTTGATTTATGCCATTCCAGCATGATAGTTCTCTGTATTTCTTGAAAATTTTAAAGTTTTTCTTCGTTCCTGTATAGCTTCATATTGATTTTCACATAAAATCCTGCTGGCCAAATGATGTGAGCAATGGCAGGAAATTTCCAAAGAAAAATTTTCCATATTTTAAGTGTATTTAGCGGGGATTACGAACGGTTCGATGCTCGGTAATTGCTTCCTTCTATGTTGTCGTTTTTAGGTTTTCATTTTTTACAATTTCTATCTCGCCTAGCTAATAAATGTATTAACGAATGTTTTTATTCCGATTCCTCACAAAATTCGGTTAGGAACCGACTTTTGTCTACTTCAACTTCTCTGTTAAAATTACCTCTAAATGGAGCTAAACTTCGTATTTCAGAGCCATGAGCAACTTCGAGCAGTTCTACAATGATGTAGGTCTCAGTGTTTTTCCCGTTTTTTTTTCCAAGAATTAGTAGCTAAGCTTCGAATTGTTTCATTTTGATTATTAGATTTTTTCTTCTATGTTTCTAGCTGTTTAATTACCTTGGGTATTGATGTTAACCAGGGATAAATACTGGTGACTTGTAATGCGACACCATTAAGTTCTGCCCCCCTCCCTCCTTGCAGTCTGCCTTAATATTTTGATTCTCTGCGAAAGTATATAATACATCAAGCTGGATTAAATAGCGTTCTATGTTATTTGCTGATTCTGGTGGTTGCTCGGTTTTTAGTTCTAGGGGTTTTGGCATTTTCTAATCCAATAACAATTTTCTAAAGGGTTAAATGGCTATTGTTCCGAGGTATTTGTGAATTGAGAAAGTTTTGCAGATCAAAGAAACGGAGAAGGAAGATTCTACACTAACGTCACAACAACAGCTTGATCGTCTTCTTAGACCTGGATCTACATACTTGAACTTAAACCCTTTTGAGGTACTACTTCGACAATTCGGTGGATTGTTTCACTCAATACTCTCATTTCTTTGTATAGGTTCTGCAAATCGATCCGGACTCTGATATCGAATTAGCGAAAAAGAAATTCAAGAAACTGTCCCTGCTTATTCACCCTGACAAAAACCCCGATGATCGAGATAGGGCCGATCAAGCATTCGACAGTAAGGACAGTTTGATAATGCCGTGCATAGCTATGCGAGATGAAACGGAGATGCCATTGATTCCATGTTGTTTCAGTTATAAAGAAGGCTATGAAACAAATTGAAAATCCACTGGAACTAAATCGCTGCAAGGATTGCTACACAGAAGCTCGGGCTCGCTTAGCTATTGTGGTATGTTGAATCAGTTTCTATTTTTCTTTTATGAGGAGGGATAGGCGATATTGAGCGGTACAAGTACAGTTAACCCAAATATCAACGCCTCGAATTCTAGTCGTATTTTGTTTCACATATTCTTATAAACCAAACATATTCGGCAACATACGAGAGGGAAACAAACAACGCTGCGCTACGATATTTCAGCGCTTGTACAGCTCTTTTGTCACCACCCTATATTCTATACGCCAAATGTTACAGTCACAACCACAACCATGCTTATCTTCTTTGTTTTGATTTCAGATGTCCGAAAAGCGACGTAAGGCGAAGAAGGAGAACGGCACTAATGAAATTGAGGAGGATGACCCGGCGGTATACAAGAAGCAGTTGTGGATAGCTGTCACGAAAGTTTTCGCAGATCGCGAAAAGAAAAGGAAAATGTTGGAGGAACGGGCAAATGAAGAAAAGTAAGTTTTCCATAGAGTACTTAATCTAAATGAAAGGAAAGAGAAAACATTTTTGAAGAAATACAAGAATGCTGAGGATAATACCAGTGTTGAGAAGTTGCTTTCACAGCTGTAGAAACTTCTTTCGACTTTTCACCGTTCACTTGACGCTCTTACAAAAACACAACGCGATTTTTCAACGTTTTCAGACGACGTGCGGCAGAGACGATTCAGCAAGCAGCGGAAAAGAGAAAGCTGGCTGAAGAGTTTGCTAAGAACTATGAGGTAAATGAATCGTCTACTTATATTGACTGTTTTCTCCGGATGGGACTATGGACGCAAAAGCATTTATTTCAGGAATCTCGTGATGAACGTTCAGGCAGTTGGCGTAATTTCCAAGCCAAAAAAGCAAAACGTGAAGAGGGAGGTAAGACAATGCGGGGCGCAGCTTTTCGCCCGCCGAAACCTAAGCTACAAAAATAAAGTGATCTCATTGAGCACCTAACACGTGGTTCGGTGTTTATTGTTCCTAATTTGTAATTATTCGATAAAAACAAGTGTATTCAAATATTGTTACTAAATTGGTAACTATATATGCCAAATTTTTCTTGTTCTATTCATAATTACATAGAGTGAGTTCAAAGTCCACGAAAAGGAATGAGTATCTGGCAAATAGCGCCTCAGTAACTCAACAACAATCGGAAGCCCGTACAGTTTTTCGTGTCACCAGTATTTTCACGTATTCATTAAAAAAGCAACGATTCTTTGGAAAACTTCCAAGCAAAGATCGTGTCGTGTATCCACGTAGACCAGCCTTTCTTATAGCTGCTCAGTATCCTGACATGAGTTACCGTCGCGGAAACTGTTAAATGCCTGTTAGAGCTATACAACAACCTAGAAGGGTAAGCCGAACTTGAGGCAGTGATTCAGATCACTGAGCCTAGCTTACTGATGTAGACCACTGGCTCTGGTTGATTCTAAGATGTTGCATGTGTCTAACCCAGTTAACCGCTCCTAGGACTTATTGACAGAGTAGCAGAGCCATGTGCTGCGGCTTTTTGAAAAAAACTGATATACTCGTGTTACTTTGCCTTCCATCTCAGCTGTTGTTAATTTATACGATTCAGTCTATCCAATAAGTAATAAGGTGAGCTTCCTATGGAGGAAAGAATGGTAATATCTTTATTAAAGAAAATCAAATGGTAGTCTCAGATTGCACATATAGTATGATGTACTTTAGAGTATAATTTACATTCACAAAATATCACAAGGCTCTGGCGAACTCAAATCACAATCTGTAGTGAAAATGCAGTAGTGTAAGTAGTAGTAGTCGAGTCCGAGCATATTGTCGGTGGCAGCAAATTGACTGTTAAACAATCACGAATGACATAAAAAGCACAAATTCACTGAGCATACACTGGAAAGTTGTCTGATAGTATAACTGATCCAGATCATACATACAAGTAGTACTGAAAATGGTAGAAGGTCTACCTCTACGATTGTGGATCCAAGGGGAATCGAACAGGCTCGAGTACATAGAAAGACTCAAAATAATCAATGCGTTCTAGCTTTTACGTTTTGTTTGCTGATCCTCTTACTTTCTTACTCTTCGAGTCTGTTTGACTACACTTGGACCGGTCCGTTTCATTTAAGCCAACAGACTTTACTGACTTTATGGTTGGCGTTGAATTACATGACGATATGAGGGAGATGCAAATGTACGTGATGGTCAAAAGGCTTTTCTCCGTAATCGGAGAAATTGTGAAGATTACATACGTGAACGAATAAAATATCAAAGGGTCAGTCATCAAAAACATTTGGGGAGGTACTATGGCTTTTGTAATCCTTCTCATGGATCAAGTCAGTCGTGAAATTTATGGATGGGCTGCACGCGGCTGCGAGATGCCATATGAGGGCACAAAGATATAGAAAATGGAAAGTCGTCACTGGTCAATTTTCTATGCACATGAGCCGCGTGACCGCCTGAGACAGTTGTCCATAAATTGCTCAACTAACTAATTTTATGGAATGGATCATAAATAATGTCATGTCGACTCATCTAATCTTCTTCATACTCATACAGCTGCTTATATAATGGACAACAGTAGCAGCACCAACATGACAGGGCGATCAAAACTGAAAATCATAATTGGTTAGCTTCAGTAGAAATGTTGTTCATCAAAATTTCGAACATTTTTGATTTACAGAAACTGAAAGTGACGTCTACTTGTTCCATCTTCGCGGGACATCTGATGTCCAATGAGAGCCAAATTCAAACTCAGGAGTATGTAGAACGGGACGGCTAATACAGAGTAGACGATTCAAAATCAGGGTTTAGGTACGACAAACATTGCTAGGAAAGTGACAAGCTTTTCGAGTCCAGGAAGGTTACAAGCTCTTCAAGTTAACTACCTTCTCGTCTCTTACTTTGACAGCACATTAAGTGTTTTGAATATTTTCGTCATCTATAAGTAATTGGTTTTTCTGAATAGTCGAAAGTGATCTTACCTGCCAACAAAACGATTGCAGCAATTATGATGGCTACAACTGCACCGGTTGGTATAGCAAACGGACAGCAGGATGGTTTCCATGAGCCCATATATGGCCACGTACAACACCAGTTATAGTTGTCCCAATCCGTAGGCTGGGGACAATATGCCAAATATCCTGGAATAATTATACTTATACATAGATAAAATTTTCCGATACTCAGTTCCATGCGAAAAAAGGTCCCCAGATGCTTGAAATTCATTGGTATTGATCCATTACTTAAAGTTTATTTGAAAAATGCTACGCTGCAATTAT